ATTTCAATGAAGACTAGCTTCTGAAAGGTCACTGTATAGGAAAATTCTACGAAGTGCCCCTGTTAGCTGTGCTAGTTTCTTCCCCCACCTTGAAAAGAACATACAGCCACCACTTCAACAGTAGAGCTACGTGAAACCAAGAAAGACTTTGCAGCTTTTGTCAATTTAAAAGTGTGCACAGGCAGTTATTTTTTAACTTTGTGTTTAGCTTGTGCAAACAGTCCCCAGCAACACTGCACGTTGATTAAAAATCTCTGATGATGCAAGATCAACTAGCTCACTAGGAAGCTTGCACTACGTTTAAGCAAGCACAAAAAGATGAGCTGTAATTTTGTCAAGCATCTTTTAAGTCCCTTTCTGAGCAACTGCAGTCAAAAAGCAGGGCGGAAAGGGGCTGGGGTGACTTTGAATGGATACAGCAAGGGTTGCACAACAGAGCGTTTGCTGGGGTTTTGCGCGTAGGCCCCAGCTGTCAAACAAGGCCACCCACAAATATGCACGTATTACAGCAATATGTCAAAGGGGTTTGGGGCTTTTTTGGATTCTAAGGAAAAGTAAGCACGACCCTAATCCCAGAAGAGAAAATGCATGAACACACATCTATCACCACCTTGCCTTCTCCACCTGGACAACTCAAAAAATTTTTATCCTTGGTAAGTGCCCAAAAACTAATGTTCCCAGCATCAAATACATCCTAAAGCAAGCAGGTAATCAAATCGAACTCAGAGAAGTTTACTCTGACAGTTCGCTGCTGTCTATTCAAACAGACTTCTTAGATTAATTCAGAGCAAAACTGGCACTAATCTTCTTGTCCAAAACCCAAGATCATCCCAGGCTCCAGAAGCAAAACGAGTCTGTCAGGCTCTTAACAGTGCTAACTAACACGGTTTACTCTGGAACAAAGAAATACTTTTCCACCAATAAAATGTGTTGCCAGTTTGTTTCTTCTAGTTTCTTCTAAACTCTTACCAGCCCTTACTGTGCTTGTGTGCAAGAAAAACTTGTTACAAAACATCTAACAAACTTCAATTTAAAATGAAACCAAATATTTTTAAATGAATGGCATTTCCAACTCAGGCTCTATTTTTAAATGTGGTATGTATCTTATGCCACTAATTCTTTTTTTTTCCTGGAAGCTGAGCGATTTTGAGTGAAGTCACATAATTTAAAATTTCATTAAAAATGCAAAGAGCTTTAGGACTACAAATAGCATAAAGCAGTTTGATATTCTAAGAAGCTTCCACTCGCAATTTTAGCATTCTCTGCCTTTCATTATATGAGACAAACTACATGTGAGACTTGAAATAAACTGCACTCACCATCTAATCTTTATTGAATATTGCTTCAGTTTATATGACTACGTAGGTCAGGAACTATACACATGCTTCAATTACGTATCAAGGTAGGCATGCTCTACCCTGTGCCCAGGCTAGACGGCCATTTTCATGCATAACAGAAGGCCTGGAAATACAAGACAAAGTTTAACCAAAGTTATAATGGCCACGAGAAGCAGTTAAACGATTTTTTCCACTTTACTCTCAAATAGTTAAAACACTTGCTAAACTCAATTTCACATGGACCTCTTAAGACATAGGCAATCAATGCAATGTGCAAGACTTGCATGCAAGCATCCTCTCTTTGCTGTTCCCTGAAATAAAATGGCCAACAACCAATCTGCACAATTTCAGAAATACCAAAGATTATAGTGCCTCAGAAAATTGTATCATAAAGAAATGCAGCCATCTTAGAAGAAAGTAATTAATCCAAACTTTCCTTCACACCCATTTATAAGAAAAGGTATCCAGTAATACAGAAATAGAATAGAAACCCAATTAAATGGAGAATAAATACAATATCTGAAATAAAGTATTAAAAAGCTGATTTAATGTCTCCACATCTAAAATCCTTTCCTCTTCTAATTTCAAAATATTTTTTCCAAGAGGTGCATAAAAAGATTCTTCAGAGAGAAAAGAACATCTGATTAGAGAAAAAGTAATGTCAATATGTTTTTTGAAGACACTCGTTTCATAATTAGCGCATAGGACTATTCTCATATTGTGTACATAAAACTACCGATTTTGAGAAGTGACCATTTCCCTTTCCCAAAATCCTACATTATGCACACAAGAAGAATTCTTAACCAGCTTGTCAGGAACTGAGAGTCCCCAAGCATGATGTACTGTACCGTAAGTACATCAGCGACAGTTTTAAAATTATTTGACACAGCCCAACAGAGAAAACAAAGAGGTCCTGGAAGTGGCCTTTGGCACTCCAGAATGAATGCTTTTGGGCACTCAGGTGTTCCTTGCAACGTCTTGGGATAATCAGCCATAATCCAAATATAAAGACTGCAAGTCTTCGTCCACGTGGAACGAGACACAAACCCTCCCTCAAAGACGGGTAGAAGACAGACCACAGAATATAGGCTGGAGATCAGGCACCTCACCTGGATTCACTGTAGATTCATTTTATTCTCCACCTCCTGAAGTCTAGGTAGTAATCACCAGATACTGAGTATTTTGGAGTCACCACCATTGAACTACTGGTACAGAAATATTTACTGGAGGAGGAATTCACACCTCCACTTCCCATATCCTGGTGAAACGCCCAAAACACTGGGCTGTCAAACTCATGTCAGTCTTTCCTCTTTTAGCTTGGCAGAAGCACCTACCCTGAAACGACCAGTAATCTGTAACAGAGGACGCTCCTATAGATATGGGTGCACAGGGAAGCAAAGCTAACCAACAGCAGAAATGCAGATGGTATCTTGTTTCGGTCTGAAAATTTTAAGCTCTGGCACATTGTGAGAAGTACCTTTGAGAACTTAAAACCCCAATCCTCCTACCATGCACCACATGCCTTCCCGAACAGCTCACTTAGGTTTCAAGTCTTCCTTCTTCATTTAACATCACATGGTTGGAGAGCTAACTCCCAACTTGGTTCTCTGTCTGTGTGTAAGGTTATTTTCCAGCTACCAGGTATGGTAAGTCTTCATTCATTAACTGTCTGTTCAAAGCTGTGCAGCTATACAAAAAAAAAAAAAAGCTTCTTCCAAAGATATTTTTGCAATCGTGGGGAAAAAAACCACCTTTTCTATAAATTTCATTACATAATTGCAGCCAAGTACTCCTTTTAGAAAAACTAGCCTAAGCTAGTTTTCAGTGTTCAGTGGCCTATTTCTAATGCAAAATTCTAAGAATAAAATTAATGAGACAAAAAAGTAAAAAATAAGCAATAAACTCCATTTGACATATCATTAGCAACCTGAAGCATGAGAATCCAGGCTCAACATTCAATAATTTTCTTGCCGGGAGCAGACTACTAGTTAAAAAGATCTGTTTGCATGAAAAAAAAACCTCTCCCTACCCATGCCACGTTTGGGCAAAGATCTCTGAAACACTGAACTCGTCAACTGGGAAGCCAAAACCTCATCATTTTGCCGCCACTTTTTTCACAACCCTAAAGTTGCCAGCAAATCAATCACTCAGAGAATCAAAAAAAATATCTAACTCAGACTTCTGCTGTTAAGTCAGCAGTAAGTGCTGCACTGGCCTATGTCAGCGTTACAGCGGCCTTAGTCATAGGTCAACGAAACAACCAAGAGCAAACATATAAAATAGAATTTTAGGCCTGCATTTTTAATACCACTATGAACAGAATGCAGGAATTACCTACTAGAGCTGCTGCTTTTTAACTAAAAGCTCAGCAGCCACATGCTCAAGTCAAGAACCTCTTAGATCATTTTAAAGCCATCAAAGTTTTAGGCCTAGGGTCAGTGCAACAGTATGAGCTCTACACTAGTTAGAGCTATGTTATCAGTTTTGATCCTGCCCAAGAACTGGATTTATTTTTAGCACTCACTATGACACAAGTGTAATGGCTCCAAAACCCAATATATTTCACCACAATCCTGCTGCAGTACAGAAAGGACTCTCTGTATACGGTTAACTCCAGCTCTGAACACTGCTGTCAAAATTCGTTTTTCCTAGGTCAGCTCCAACTATTAAGCGAGGTTTTTGCTCCAAAACCTCTCAAAACCAGTAACAATCTTTCTCCACCACAGCACAGCCCCTACGTACAATTAACTCTGCAAGGCATTTGAAGCTAAACATCTGCCTGCTGCCGCTACAGTACATCTGTTCCAAAGTCCACCAAAACTATATGCTAGCAATGCTTCTCTATGGCTTGACTCATTAGTTGTAATTGCATACTAATTACATATTCCAGAATTACAATCCTCCTCGATGAAACCCAATGTGTTCTTGTTTGTAACACATCTCCATGTTGACTGGAGCTGAGGTCACGCCAAAGCACAGTTCACCCATCGCATTAGGAAAAGAGGTTTTCTTTTTTAGCTTGGAAGAAGCGATTGCCACATCTCCTCATTGAGACCCTTGCAGCATCACACAGCAGCTAAGCACGAGTCCTGCCTTACTGAATGGATGAAAACCAGGGCAGAGCACACAGACTTCACCTCTCCTGCCACACAGAGCAGTGACCCCGGCAGAGTGAGAGGCCTGCCACCATTATATTTACAATCCAAGATGAGTTATTATATTTTTAAAAATATTAAGAAATAAATAAAAGGACGTGAGTCATGGCAGGGCAGGCGTATTTGCCACAGGAGCCAAAAAATCAATACAGCCAGAGCTAAGGGGCAGCCCCTGCGTTGCTCCGGAGCATCCCGGGCTGGGGAAGGGGGGTGGTGGCAGCGGGCAGGCCGGCTGCGATCGCCCAAGGAGGGCTCCCGTTAATCCTCGCCATCACAGAGCTCCCGTTAATCCCAGCCCCCGGCTCGGCAGCCGGCCCCCACAAAAGGAGGCCGAAGCGGCAAGGGGAGGCCTCGGCGGCGGCCCGGGCCAGCCCCCGTTGGCAGCCGCCGGCCTCCCGGGCGGAGCGGCAGCGGGCAGGGCGTTAGGTAAGCGCCGGGCCGGTCTGATGCAATAGCTGTACGTGCAACGCCCGGTGCCGGGCCCCGTCGCCGGCGGGAGGATGGATACAGGTCAGGTCCAGGTCGAAGCCATCCTCCTGGTATCGCCTTTTGTTCCTGCTGACGATCTCTTTGATGATGGCGGTCATGTCTGGCAGCCGGGGGCCGCTCCGGGACAGCGCGCAGGGGCCGTGCAGCGGCGGGGCGCTGGGCCGGGAGGCGGCGGCGGGCCCTCGGCCGTCGGGCGGCCCCGGGAGCGGGGCCTGCTGCACCAGCGGCTCAGCCCCAGGCGGGCACGCCTCCCCCCGCGGCGGCGGCGGCGGCTCCCGGTGGTGGCGGCGGCGGCTGCCCCCTCCTCCTCCTCCTCCGAGCAGGGCGGG